ACACCATGGGGACGACGCGTGCTCACATCGCCCTGCGTGTGTGCGTACGTGTGTGTGCGTGTGTATGCAGCGTCGTGTGATTCGAAGAACTGCGTTGGCTATTGGGTGGCGCACGTGTACACGCGACTGCTCATGGCGCTGCCAACCGCTGCGCTCGTGCAGCTCCTCTCCAGAAAGTGAGTCCTGCATGTTTTGCGCTTGTGATGCGTGTGCGTGTGATGTGTGAGATGTGTGTGTGTATGATGTGTGTGTGTGTGTTTGTGTGTGCGCGTGAACGTGTAGATGTCTGCGTGTGCGTGTATGGATTGTATCGTCTTTTTTTTTTTTTGCGCTTGTGATGCGTGTGTGTGTTTGTGTGTGTGATGTGTGATGTGTGTGTTTGTGTGTGCGTGAACGTGTAGATGTCTGTGTGTGCGTGTATGGATTGCATTTTCTGTTCGTGCCGTCACTCACACCCTCTCATGCCCGCCCATGACCACTGTCACGCGTCTTGCAGCACCAAACTGACGCTCGTCTTTGCGTTTGCCACGTTTGTGTCCATCTTCGTTGGCTGGGGCTGCTACTTTTCCATCGGCTGGAGCGACACGGGGTACAACAGGTACAAGCGCACGTTTTGTGTGCGTGCGTGTGTGTACGTGTATGTGTGTATGTGTATGTATGTGTATGTGTATGTCGGTGTCGTCGTTTGTGCCATTCCTGCAGTGCCCTGCGACTGATGTTGCCTGCGGCTCACAAGTAACGCGTGGCGTCTCTTCTTTGTACATGCGCAATGTTCGCAGCCGGAGCGGGTTCCTGGATTGGCTCATCGGTCGTGAGTTGGAGGGCTGGGACTTTTCTCGACGCTTCATTCGCGACTACGCAGGTGGATGTGTTGCGTGTTGTGTTGTGTTTTCTTGTGGTGTGGTGTTGTGTTGTATTTCTGTGGTGTGCGTATGCATGCGTGAATGTCTTGTCTATGTGTGAGTGCATGTGCTGTGGTGTGCGTGCGCCTTCCACCGTGCACATAAGTGCCCAATGCATGCGCATATGTTGTGATGGGGCCTCACACCAACACCCCCTCTCATGCCCGACCCGTTTGTGAACCAACCACACTTTGACAGGCATGGGCATGCGAGGGCTGATGTGGACACTACCCGCTGGCTACGTCATGCACCACGAGGGCTACGGATGGCAGGTACACGTGTGTATGTGTGTTTGTGTGTGTGTGTGTGTGTGTGTGTGTGCTTGTGTGTGCGCATGTGCGTGTGCGTGTATGTGTTATCAATGCCACGTGCATCATTCAACGTAACACTCACCCACCCCTACATACACGTACACACCCCTACATACACGCACACACATGCACAACCTCCGTGTGTGCAGTTTTCACTGAGCGGGGCGGTGATGCCGGCGATTTACGCGTTTGGCTTTCGCGATCACCCAATTTGGACCGCAGACGGATGGCAGCCGCTCACCTGCTCAGACCCGCCTTTCTCACAGGACTGGGTACGTTGTTGTTTAAGTTGTTTAAGATGTTGTTTAAGATGTTGTTTAAGATGTTGTTTAAGTTGTTGTTGTTGTTGTTGTTGTTGTTGTTGTTGTTGTTGTTGTTGTTGAAGTTGTTGTTGTTGTTGTTGTTGTTGTTGTTGTTGTTGTTGTTGTTGTTGTTGTTGTTGCGTGTTTGTCTGTCTGCCTGTGACACACACACACATACACCACACACACACACACTCTCTCTCTGTCTCTCTCCCTCCCCATTTGTGATCACTCCACCTCAACTCACAAGCAACTTGTGGTCCCTGCGCCTCCAGGCGTTTTCAACGGGCACGCCCATGTCCGAGTTCCTGTTTGGGACGTGGTTCTGGATGTGTCTTCTCGTTGCGCTCTTGCGTCGCTCCCCATCCAGATCACAGGTGGGCAGCGATGATGATGATGGCAAAAACTCGTGGTAATGGTGGTGATGGTGGTGATAGGGTCTGTGTGAAGGAAAACGATGCATGAGCTGTCGATTTCCACAACCACTCACATGACGGTCCTCATTGCTGCTGACATGATACAACACAACACAACACACTCATCCTCGCCGTGTCTCCCCCTATTCCTCACTGCGTCTCCTTCCAGGTCCGGCGCCACCGCAGTTCGCTGCTGTACGAGGTGCTGTGCTGGGTCGTGTGCATCATCTTCTTCGTCTCCTCCTGCTGGTACGCGAGCGTGAAGCAGGACGACAAGTCCAACTGGGGCCAGACGCTTGTCGGCTGTGCTCTCTCCACCCTCGTCCTCCTCATTGCGCTGGTACTTGAAGTGCGCCGCCGCCGCTGTCGTCGCAACGCCGCCGGAAGCGAAGGGGTACTGCTCATCCAGAACACATACGGGCACACGCGCGTGCGCAAGGCATACACGGGCCGGGACTTTGAGGGCGGTGGCGGTTATGAACCGCTGGGCACAGACGACCTGCACGACGCATACTTCAGCAGCGATGATGATGATGTGGACGACGATGAGGATGTGATTGCCACCACCACCGCCATCGGCGTGTACAAGGACCCGGACGCCATCTCCACCACAAGCAGACAGAAGGTGGGCAATGTGTGCATGTGCATGTGCGCATGTGTGTGTGCATGTGTGTGTGCATGTGTGTGTGTGCATGTGTGTGTGTGTGTGCCTGTGTGCATACACACGCTCCCCTCGCTTCCTGCATCTGCCTGTTGGTTTCGTTGCGCCCGCTGTGCGGTATTGCCCCATTCCTTGTCTACCCTGCCATGCTTCACTCAACCTCACCATTCCCCCAACCCCAACAAAACACACACACACACACACACACACACACACACACACACACACACACACACACACACACACACACACACACACACACACACACACACACACACACAATCCCCTTTCTTCCGATTTCCAACACCACTTCAGCGTGGACGGGAGCACCCCTTGTTCGTGTGGTTTGAGCGCTTCCTTGGCCTGTTGTCCGTGCTCAGTCTCCTGGCCATCCTTGCCTTCTGCCTCACGGCGCTTGGCTGGAACTGGCACACCCCACGATACTGCACAAGCACACACGCACCAAACTGCCACTAGCCGCTTTCATAGTCGCTCTTGCCTGTCTGTCTCCTTTTGCGTTCATTTGCTTACTTGTTCATTTGTTTGCTTGCTCTCATTTCATTGCATTGCCCGACTTTCACTCCCCTCGTTTCAACTCCGCTTTCGCTACCCTCGGACTTAAACGTGCTTCTACATTCTTGTTGTTGTCGCTCTTGTTGCTGTGTCGTGCGCGTGCCTGCGAACTTGGTATTTGCTTTGTGGTGCGTAGATCACATGTAGGAGGGGAGTGGCCGCAGGCGGGTGTGCCACTCTGGACACACCCGTGTTTCTGTGCGCGTGTTACATTATGTTACAGTTTACATGACAACTGTTTTAGCGTTGCTGGTTCTCGGTTGCAGCTACCTGGCTGGCTGCTCTGTTGTTTCTCTTTGCCGTGTGCCCACTCGTCGTTGATGATGAAAGCATGAGTTGATGAAAGCATGTGTTTCAACCAGCGTGACAACACCCGACTCGCTTGTGTGTGTGTGCGCATGTGTGTGTGTGTGTGTGAGTGAATGTGTGAGTGAATGTGTGTGTGTGTGTGTGCGCGCGCATATGTGTGTGTGCGTGTGCATGTGTGTGGGTGTGCTTGGGTGATGTTTGACCCACCAAGCGAGAGCCAGTGAGGAAACATGAACCAGCGGATAGAATCGGTGCTCTTCACACGTTTTGCAGCACTTCCACGTGTTTCATTCATGGACTGTGTAATCAACCATCTTCTCTGTCCACCGCTGTCCATACCATGTCGTTTAATGCGCTTGGATGAAACGAAAGGCAAGCCCGCAATACACACAACACACAAAAGGCACGTCCCGTTGACGAACACACACACACACACACACACACACACACACACACACACACACACACACACACACACACACACACACGAGCAATCCTTCACGCAGAGCTCATGTCAACGTCTGCAAAGCCTTCGATGACCTCATATGGCGACTCATCGTCTTTCTGCTTCAGACGTAACTGCGCCAGTTGCTGACCTTCCTCCCTCTTCCGGCTTTCTTCTCTTTCTTCTCCTGCTGTGTCGTCGTCTTCTTCTTGCGACTCTGGAAGTCCACCAACGCCAACGCCAATAACCGTGTCGTAGGCACCGTCTGTCTTCTCGGCTGCACTCTCGGCTGGCTCCTCGTCGCGCACAGGGCTGTCGTTGCCTGCTGCGGTGGTGCCGTGGCCGCCGTACACATCGAACGTGTGTGGTTCCCAGGCATGCGTCCGTGTGGATGCCATCCCTTGCAGACGTGTGCCGAGCGTGTCGCCATTGGTGGCCGCCCCTGCACCATCAACGGGGCCAATGTCGTACACGGCGGGGTTCCATCGAAACCGGAGCTGCTGCATCCTCGCCGCTGCCGCTTCCTCTTCGCTTGTGCTCAGTTCAGCATACACTGCACAACGCAGCACATGACAGCAGTTGTGGACCACGTGCACTGTGTGAGAGAAAGTGTGTTCACACGCAGCAGGGTGTCGAGGCTGCAGCTGCAGCATTGCACATTCAAGTGCCCCCACACAACACAGCAACACAGCAACACAGCAACACGACTGCAACGCATTTCCCACTGTACGTTCAAGCACAAGCATCTCTGTGCGCAGCGGCACATACCGTGATGGTCGTGGACATGCTGTCCGGGTTGTGAAAACGTCGGGTTGTTGGCAGTCATCATGAGACCGTCGTTTGTCTAGCAACCAAGTGAGTGAGTGTGAGCGAGTGAGACACACAGACACACACACACACACACGCATACGTTTTCATACATACATGCACACGCATACAGCATTCATGCACACGCAAACGGACACATAAACTCACGGGCGCTGGCAGTCTTGCCGTCTTCGTTGTTCCAGATCGACACGCCTGTAGGATCACGACAACAAGCACCTGGCACACGCCGTAATCGCACCAGCCAGTGTGCACACAACGACGATGTGAACGGGTAGTCTGAAGCAACGCAGCACAGCATCTCACAAGGACGACAGGCTGCCGTCAGGCCATATACAGATGGTCAGCAGGCAAACAAAACCGCGTTGTGCAAACGTACAATGAGGACCAGAGCCGTAGCAGATGCGCCACCAGCGATGATGCCAACGGGGCTCCCCCCAGACGAGGAGGATGTGGTCGTGGACGCCTGTGGGGACGAGATCAGGCGGCCCTTCTCGTCGTACACGGGTTCTGAGATTGTGCCAACCGTGTCAAACATCTCGGTTCCGTCGCCAGACTGCGTGAAGGCGCGCAGGCGCACGGTGTACGTGGTGCCAGCGCGCAGCGGGCCGTTAAAGAAGCCGCCGTAGTTGAGCTCGTCGCCCACCACCAGCGAGCCACTCGTCTGCGTCGCGTCGTCACCGGTGTACAGCCGCTGGACGGCGATGTACGCGCGCGGCGTCTGCTTGTTTACCCGCGCGTTCTCGCTCGTCTCCCATCCGCCAAAGGCACACTCGTCCTCGCCACTGGCCGACGTGCAGTTGTACATGGTGTTGAAGTGGCGGCTGTCCTCCGGCTCCACGATGACCTGCACCTGGCGCACGGGCCCAAAGCGCGTGTTGATGATGGGCCACGTGATGCGCAGCGTTGTCTGCTTGCTCTCGCCGTTGGGCCGGTCGTCGTGGAACTGCACCGTCGGCAGCTCCGCCGGGCGAAACGACCACGTCTGCACAGACTCCGTCGCGCTAAAGGGGCCCGGCGCAAACTCGGTGTTCTCGGGCGCCACCTTGATCTCGTACATGCGGTTTGGCTCCAGGTCCGTCAGCGTCACAGAGGGGTTCTCCTCGCTGGCGTCGTAGGGCACAATCACGTCCGTGGCGTCCAGTTCCGGAGACGTGGCGCTCTGCCCGCCGTTCTCGACGTAATCCACCGCAAGCCCCTTGTAGCTGACCACGTAGTGGCGCGGCGGGCCGTTGAAGTCGTGCATGGCAATGCGGCCCCACTGCACCGTGATGCTGTGCGCGTCGTTGGAGCGGTCTGTGATCACGGGCGTGGCGGCTGGCGGTGCCGCCTCCGTGCGCACGGTGTTTGTCGTCAACAGCGCACTGGCGTCAAACCCACCAGCCTGCTCCATGCCAACAAACACAGAGTTGATGGGGTACACGTCCACCTTGTACTGCACGTACTCCTGCAGCCCGGAGAAGCTGACACTTGTGGTGGACGTCTCCTGCGTCGCCACCACGTGCTCCGCGGGCGTGTCCGAGTGGTCATCAGCAAGTTGCGTCAGAATCACGCGGTACTGCAGGCTGGCGTCGTTCCAGTCAGACACGGCGAGCGCGTTCCACGACACGTCCAGCGTGGTCGTGCCCTTGGTGGTGGTCAGCTGGCCCACACTGGCGCCCGGCAGCGCCGGCGACAGAATGCCGTTGTTGTCTGGCGTAGACACGGTCGTTGTGTCAGTGCCCTCGCCAATGGCTGTCAGCGGCGTTACCGAGAACGTGTACTTGTCATATGCGCCCAGCGAAGTGAAGCGCGTACTGAGGCCGTCACCCTGGTTGTTGCTGCCCAGTTCCGCCAGCGAATACGTGAGGTCGCTGTGCACCTGCGCCTGCGCCTGCTGGTTCGGCGTCACCCGCACGACAACGCGGTACTCTGTGATGATACCGTTGCGCGTTGCAAGGGTGGGTGGGTTCCACGTCAGCAGCACGCGCTTGGAGGCGTCTGTTTCGTCCGTCTCCTCCGCAGCCACCAGGTTGAGCACAGGGCCGGTTGGAATGTACTCATCTGTGGTCTTGGAGAAAGAGGGCGATGTGGGCGACTCGGGCGACACGGGCGCGCGGTTGGCGACCGTCGCCGTGAAGCTGTACAGCACACCGGCGCGCAGACCATCAATGACGCGCGAGACAGTGGTGGTGGCGCGCTCCGCCGACGTGAGCGGCGTCTGCAGCGTGGCCAGGTCGCCAAACGCGTCGTTGCCGTACTCAATTGTCAGGTTCTGCAGCACGCCGTTGCGGCGGTTGAGTGGACGGATGTTCACGCTCACGCGCACGCGCTTCTCCTGTGCAGTGTCATCTGCCAGCACCTGCACATTGGTAATGGCTGGTGCCGTGGGCGTTTCCTCCTCCGTCAGCACAGTGATGGTGTTGGCCTCACCGTCGCCCACGCTCGTGTGCGGCACAACCTCCAGCGTGTACTCCATGAATGGCTGCAGGCCAGTGGCCTGGAAGGTGAGGGTGCTGTTGGGCTGGTTCTCAAACTCCGTCACAACGGGCAGGCTTGCAGCGAGCGCCGAGTCGATCCTCTGCGTGTAGAACGGGTCTGTGGAGATGGTGAGCGTGGCCGTGTAGGCAGCAATGCCGTTGCGGTCGGGAACCGGGAGCGGGTCAAAGTCAATGTCGACTGTACGCGGCGTGACGCTCACGTCGCCAAAGACAACAGGGGCGGACGGAATGGCCTCGTCGGTGCGGATGACGAACGTGGCTGCGGGCCCAATGCCAGCAGACGTCCACGCGCGGACCTCAACCGTGTATGTGACGTACGCCTCCAGGCCAACCAGCGGCCACGTGTACACCACGTCGCCGTTTGCGGGCACAAACGAGTTGCACACGGACGCAGGGCAGTTGTCCAGCGAGTCTGTGGCAACGCGTGGGTCGTCGTCCTGGCGCGAGTACACAATGGTGAAGTTGGTGATGAGCCCCTTCCGCTCCAGCGGTTCCGGCAGCTGCCACTCCACCATCAGCGATGACGACGTCGTCGTCACGTCCGTGTTGGTCACGTTGCCCGTGGGTGCTGCGTGTTATGTGTGTGTGTGTGTGTGTGTGTGTGTGTGTGTGTGTGTGTGAGTGAGAGTGAGAGTATGACAGTACAACTTGCATATGCGTGTGCTTGTGCCTGTGACTGGGAAGTTCACCAGCAGTCACGAACGACTCGAGGAACAGCAACAGCGACGAAAGCGCGAGGTAAGCGACGTATGCATGTAGTGCACACCATGTCGCCTAAGTTCAACTCGCACACACATTTCACACGCACACATCACACAAACCTGATTCGAGCAGGCGAACGGTGTAAGTCTCGGACCATGGGCTGAACAAGCTAGAGGTGCCTTCCGTCTGCGTCTGGAACTCGTACACAATGGCGGGATGAAGCAGATTCACGAAATCGAGGGTGGTGAACTCCTTGGTGAACGTCTGTGCACTGTATCGGAACACGTGCCAGTCGTCAGCGCCACCAAAGTCAGCGTCCGTGATGGTTGTGTTGTCGGCATACGTGGTGCTAGCGGCACGACGCACACGCACGAGGTATGCAACGAGGTCTGAGTTGTGCGTCTCGGGAGGAGGCGCCTCCCAGGTGATGGTGAACGACGTGTCTGAAGGGACGATGGACACCAACTCTGGTGGGTCAGGTGGTACATCACCCGTCTCAAACACAATCGCAGGGAGGTAAAACTCTGTGGCAGAGATGGCAAAGCCAGTGTCCACGTTGGTGCGCGCCTGGAGGGTCACGTTGTACTTCACGCTCTCCTCGAGGCCGGTAAACATAGTTGATGATACAGGGTGGTTGACCGTGCGCACAAATTGGCTGGGCGCGTTCGGGTCGGCGTTTGGCTCATCATCCAGCCGCTGCACGAGCACGAGATACTGCACAACGCCGTTGAGGTCAGTCTCATCAAGGGGCGTCCACGTGACATTCACCGCAGTGGCGTTGATCACGGCGACGGCGTCAAGTTGCGGTGGCATGTTGGGCGTGTCCTAAAGGTGTTGGCCACAACATCGCGTGAGTACAGGGCAAAGTCAAACGAAGGGCACACGCCAGGTGCAAAGCAAAGGAGGAGGAGGGGGGAGGAGTTCAGATAAATGGAGAATTGAGCGATTCATCACAAGGGTGTAAGCAACAGCAGGACGAGTGGCCACAACACAAGCAATGCGTCTATTGCACGCACAACACACACAACACACACAACAGCACACATAGCACACACACACACACAAGTACACACACACACAAGTACACACACACACACAACCACACACCAGTACACGCGACACACACACACCTGATGCGTTTGCGCGGTTGCGGGTGTGGAGATGACACTGCGACGGTTGCCAAACTCGGCCTGCACCTGCACCTCGTATGTGTGATACGGCAGGATCTGGTCCGTGAGGTCAAGGTGCAGCGTGTTGCCATCCACGCTCTTCTCAATCACGGGCGCGCCTGTGACGTTGAGGTCGCGGTACTGCACAAAGTAGCGCGTGATGGCGTTGGGCGGCGTGGGTGGCGCCGTCCAGTCCAGCAGCAAGAGGTAGCCGTCAACGACGTTCATGGCATCCGGGTCAGGGCGGGTGAAGTCGGTGATGACGGGCCGGCGCTGCGCAAGACAGGTGGGCGTGTCCATCGTGTTGGTGAACGCACGAATTGGTGCATAGCCAAACGGCAGGAAGAGGGAGACGTTGGTGCCGTCGACGTCGAAGGAGGCATCAAGCGTGTTGTTGACAATCATGTCCTGGCGCGTGTGGAAGTTGTACGCGCCGCTGCCATCAACCTGCAGCACGCTCACGCCAAGCTGGTCGCTGGAGGCAAGCGGTGTTGACGCCTGCAGGAAGTATGCGCCCGTGTCCTCCGTCCTGTTGGTGCGGGCATACGGGATGCGCACAAACTTGAAGTTCGGACCAGGGGCAGTGGAGGCCGCAGCAAAGGTAGCATCAAAGTCACTGCTGGAGGCGACTCCAGCCACGTCGAGATACAGGCGCGTGTCGTCGCCTTTGGGGGTGGACAGGGTGATGTTGGTCAGCAGCACGCTCACGTTGAAGGACAGCATGCAATCGGAGTCTGCGGCCTGCACGGGTGTGACGGCCACACGCCGCAGCGCAACCAGGCGACCCGCCGCCAAAGACAGCAGGAAGGACACGTCGTCAAAGGAAACGATGCCGTCGCTGTTGGTGTCCGCGTCTGCGCCCTCTGCAAGGTCGTTCTCGGTCAGCCGGCCGCTGTACACATCGGACAGCATCAGCACATCCAGCACGTCCAACACGCCATCGCCGTTCATGTCAAAGGTCGGGTGGTTGGCGAGCACCGTCGTGAGGGTGCCGCGGGGGCCGCTGCGACGACGGCGGGCAAGCGTGTTAGCAACCATGGCTGCAGCGTCAAGCTCAAGGTCGGCAGCACCGTCGCTTGTCAGGCTGCTGCGGCGGCGACGTGTCATCATCATCGGGGTGGTCTCCACAGACAGCGAGGACGTGGTGGCATCAAGCTCAACCAGGCTCGGGTTGCCGTTGGCGTCCACCTCAACCACGGAGCCGCCGAGCGAGAGCTGCGGGCTGGTGGTGGTGAGGTTGCGGGTGGTAAACACGGCCACGCCGAGCTCAAGGTCGTCGCTGGTGATGGCATTGCCGGGGATGACGACAAACACGCTCAGTTCACCAGGCGTACGCACGTTGAAGTCGAGGAACGCAAACTGCACGTCCGAGCCAAGCTCCACCGTGGCCAGCGTAAGGAGGGCCGGGTCGTACGTCAGGCTGAGCACGGCTGCACGCAGGTTCTCCGCCTCAACGTGAAGAGGAACACGCACGCGCGAGAAGGACGCGGCAGAGACGCCGTGCGGCCCAAAGCTGCCAGCACCCTCTGCGGGCAGGAGGGACGGAAGGCAGGTGACAGTGGCCTGCACGGTGCCGTTCACGGCGATGCCGATGGTCACCTCTGTCGCGCTGCCATCGTGCAGGGTGATGATGCCGTGTGCGTCCACGCTCAGGGCATCCGTGTTGCTGGACGTGAAGGTGACGAGGGATCGGATGGCGAGAGAGCCGTCATCAAGACGCACCTGCCCTGGCGACAGTGGCTCGCCGGTCACCTCGGCAGCAATGTCGAGCGTAAACGTGGCATTCACCCGGCCAAGGAGAGGGAACGTGCCGTTTGCATTGGCCACAACATCAGCCACGCTGGCGCCCGTCACGCTCAGAGGGAGCGATGCATCGTCTCCCGCAGCAAACAGGACGGCGGTGGTGGCCGTGAGACCGCCAAAGGTTGCGGAGAGCGTGGCGTTGCCGGCAATGCTTGTGGTGATCTGCAGGCTGGCGTCAGCTGGCTGCAGGGCTAGCGCAGCGTCCTCCTGATCTTGCTGGTCGTCGTTGGCAGCGGTGAAGCTGGAGGCAAACACGGCCTGCGCCATTGTGGCAACCTGTCGCAGCTGTACCGTCACTGCCATGTCCTGTTTGGTCGTGTTGAACACGGCAACGCAGCTGGCAGTGAGCGCTGGCCAGGCTGTGGCACCGGCGCCAATTGGCGGGACCTCAAACTGCTCTGCAGCGGCAGCGCCAGACGTGTGTGTGGCCGAGCCCTCAACACCACGGGCCGTCACCGTCATGCGCACAGCATCGAGCGCGTACTTGTTCACGGTGACAGAGGCCATGAGGTCGCCGTCAACCGTGGTGTACGTGCACTCGCTGGCAACGGCATCTGTCTCCAGCGCTAGCATACCTGTGAAGTCACCACAGTTCTCATCGGCAGACGTGAAACTGGCAGACGTCACGGTCTCAACACTGCCGTCGCTGAGGGTGCGGGTGACGGTGAAGGCGGCCGATGACGGCAGCCCTGTCACAGCCTCGGCTGCGCCTGCGTTGGCAAAGGGCACGACCAAGTCAACGCTTGTCGGCGACACGGCGATGGACACGACAGTGGCATCTGTCGTGGTCACATTCACGGCGGCCTCAAACGTCTTCCTTGCACATGTGGCCTTCGGCCACTGGGCGGTGATGGCAGCAAGGCCCGAGGTTGCCGTGGTGGTGACGGTTGCCGGGTCATCGTTGCTCTGCGCCACAGTTGCCACGTCCGTGTTGTCGCTGGCAAAGGCGACTGCAGCTGGCGCGAGCGCCAGCTGCTGCCTGTTGTCCGTGACCTGCTCCATGACGACGGCGGCCACGTGAAGGCGCGCCGCGTTGGCGCTGCTGGTGAAGCGGAGAAGGTTGCTGCTCGACACGCTGACCGCAGCCGAGACCCACAGGTTGCCTGCGTCGTTGATCGTGGCGGTAAAAGTGGCGCCGCCAACGGCGTACGCACGCACGCCGAGCGCCACAGCAGGGACATCGCTCATCACGGAGATGGTGGTGTCTGCGCAGTCATGGTTGTTGGTGCACACAAAAGAGGCAGACCCAGCGCCAACGCCAGACACGACGCTGGTTGCTGTGTCGATGGTGGCCACATTCGAGTTGCTTGTGGTCATTGCAGCGATGCCGGTGACATCAAGCGTCACGCCATTGGGGAAGGACGCCGACACCTGCAGCCACGAGGACATGAACTGCACATCAGCACACGCGTTGCTGGTGGCGTTGACCTCCCGGATGGGACGCAGCACCACGGTGGTGTCGCTGCTGATGTCGCCAGGCGGCGCGATGGTGAGCTTGCTGGCGGGTCGCATGAGCATAATGTTGGCGGTTCCAAAGGCCGCCATGCCACCCACGCTCAACTGCAGCTCCACAGGGTCCGTGGTTGGCATGTCTTGAGGCGTGAAGGGGGCCAAGGACACGGCGCTGCACGATACAGCATCCAGAACGGCGGACATGTCGACAAGTTGGCAGTCAACGAGGTCTGTTTCGGGATTAGCAACGTTGCGCAGCGCGTCGCCGCGCGGCCACACGCCAACGAGCGACACGGGGAGGTCGGTGGTGGCGTCGGTGATGGAGGCCGTGTCAAAGACAACGCCGAGGCCGCCGCCCACAAACACATGGGCGCGCACGGGCTCAATGGCCAGGATGGGCTGCGTCCAGGACGTGGCGTCGACCCCGGAGCCGTCGTTGGCGAGCACAGGCAGCTTCACATCGCGCGTGCGCGTGTCAACAATGGGCCTGCGGTTGCGCACCTGGAGGAACGAGTCAATGTTGCCGCGCAGCACAAGCATGCTGTCCTCTGCAGCAGGCACAGCGTGCACGGTGGCGGTGAACAGGCTAAAGGACCGCTGCTCAGAAAACCTTGGCTCGTCGGTGAGGTCGCGAGCAATGCCGGCAACAACGAGCATTTGCTCGCCCGACTCTTCGTCCGTGGTGACGGTGCTGCTGATACTCCAGGCGGCTGTGTTGGCCTCGCTCATCTCAATGCGGCAGTTGCCGCAGCGGAGCGAGACGCCAAACGAGTGCACGGCCCAGTCGTGGCGGGCAATCACCGCCACGTCCACGGTGTCGTTCTCGTACACGCTGTTGGTGGGGGTCACGACGGCGGCAATGTTGCTGCTCACACCCAGCACCTCCTGCTGCGCTGGGCCGAGCGTCAGCTGTCCGCACGCCATGTCGGGGCTGGTCTCGTAGCCCTCGCCGTCTGCGCGTGGCGTCGTGTACTTGTACGTGACGTCCACGAGGCGTGGGCCTGCGGACGAGAACCACGCGTCTGCAAACGTGGTCCGCGCGTTGCACACTGCAGGCCCGTCTGTGGGCATGGTGCAGGTGGCCGTCACCTCGGCGTCCTCGTCGTCTGCGGCGACAAAACGCACGGTGACGTTTGCGCGCAACACGCGAATGCCCGCTGGCGTCCAGCGCGGCAAGCACCACTTGTGCAGTCGGGTATGTCGAATACACGTTGTCGAGGACGGGCGCGCAGTCAACCTGCGCTGCCGGGGCGAGGGGTCGGGTCACCATCTGCGCACCATCCTCGGGCTCGCCACTGACAGCGACCCACGTGCTCTCGCCTGGGGCGATGTTGGTGAACACAAACGAGCGGTTCACGCGCATGGACGCGTCCATGGCCTGGTCCTGCTGTTGCGACGCGGCGGCTGGGAGAATGTGGTTGGTGTTCACGCCAACCACGTTCACAGGGGGCGCTGTCTCAAACTCGGTTGGAAGCGCGTTGCACTGCGCGTCGCTCGTGCCCTCGCACACGTTCGTCAAATACTGGTCGAGCGAGCACTCCGTGCACTGCAGACACAGGCCGCCGCAGAAGCCGAGCTCCTGGTACAGCCCCCGGGTGGGTCGTGGACCGACAGGGCTCGCAGGGGATGAACATGACGGGCTCGCCGTTTGCGGTGGGGCCAGCGGTGCGCTGCAATGAGGTGGTGTTGGCGGCATCAATGGCGGCAGCCATGGCGTTCAGGGCATCTGTGGTGATGGTCAAGGCTGCATCGACGTCCACACGGAACAGCGCCGTGGTGGAGTGTGTTGTCGTGGTTGCGTTTGTCGTTGTGTTGGTGGTTGTGGTGGTCACTGTGCTGCGCTCCATAAATGTGGCGGTTGCGTCTGCATCCTCCGTCGCGTTCAACAAGAAGGCACCAAGCACGTCCAGAAGGTCGAGTTTCTAAAACAGGTGGCGTTGGGGAGAGGGAACAGGGGTGCAGGGACGAAGGTGTGAGGGGGATGGCGACATTGGGATGATGTTGGGAGGGGGAGGGGTTGGCTGATGGATGTGTGGTTCCAGCAGAGAAAAGGAAAGGGGCGGTGGTGCGAAACGAAACATGCACGAGATGGCATGTGTACGTGCAGACACACATACACACGCATGCACAACCGTAAACGCCTACACACAACGCACACGCATGCACCACCACAAACCCCTCCACACAACGTCACAGGCACACATGCGTACGCGCGCGCACCCACACACACACGCACACACACACGCGCACACACGCACACACGTGCGCACAGGCGTCATTCTGACCTGGATGTCGAATTGTGTTGATGATGCTGCAAACTGGAGATCAAGGTAGACAAATTGCCGGCCCTCCGAGGGCACGTCGAAGCGTGACACCTGCGGCAGGTACGTCACCTCCGTGTTGTTGTACGCTGCATCGTCCAACTTGCGCAGCTCGCGTGCTAGCGGGCCGTTGCTGCCGTCCTGGATGGCGGCCTCAATGGCGGCGCGCGTGGCGTCAATCTCCGTCTCCAGCGTGTCCACCTGCACCATGACGGTGACCGCGGCCTTGCGGAAGTCCAGACACACGCGGTCCGAGGTTGGCGTGGGCGCATACCGCTCGCGCGAGTACCGGGGATCGCACGTGGTGATGGGGTCGCACGCGCGGTCAGCAGACGCCGTGCAGGGGCTGGACTCAAACTCCTCGCCAGCGGCGCACGTCCGGCACGCTGTGCACGATTCGAAAGTGTGGTCGTCGGTGTCCTGGAAGGTGCCATCCTCGCACGTCGTGCAGACGGTGTTGGCCGTCAGCGTGCAGTTTGTGGTGAGCTTCTGGCCGAGCCCACACTTGGAGCACATCATGCACGTTGGGTCGAGGTGACCCGTCGCGTTCTGCCACGTGCCGCTGTTACACGCAGCGCAGGACGTGTTGCTGGTGGCGGTGCACGGCGACAACAGACGCTGGCCAGGGTCGCACCTGCCGCACTGCTTGCACTGCTCCTGCAGGTGGCTGCTGCTGTCCTGGTAGGTGCCGTCCTGGCACGGCGAGCACATGGCATCACTCGTGCGGTTGCAGGCCATTGCGAGAAACGTGCCCTGCCCACACATTGAGCAAGCCTGGCACTCCATCTCATAGTGGCTTGTCATGTTCTGGAAGGTGGCGCCGGTGCACGCGCTGCAGTTGGTGTTTGTCGTGGCCGTGCAGGCGTCGGCAACAAACTGGCCCTGACCGCACATGCTGCAGTCCTTGCACGTGGAGCTGTTGTGCATCAGCAGGTCCTGGTATGTAAAGCCTGTGCAGTTGTTGCACACAATGTTCGATGTCGGGGTGCACTACCGAAAGGCAAACTCGCCAGCGGTACACGTGTCGCAAGTGGTGCAGCTGGTCAGGTTGTGGCTGTCTGCGGACTGGAACGTGTTGTCCGGGCACGCAGAGCATTGCGTGTCCATGGTGCGCGTGCAGGCGCTCGCCAGGAACGTGCCGCTCCCGCACGTGTCCGTGCACGGCTTGCACGACATTTCCAGGTGTGCAGTCATGCTCTGGAACGTGCCATCTGTACAGTTGCCGCACTGCGTGTCTGTCATGCCACGGCAGTTTGTGGCCACAAACTGACCGGCATCACATGTGCTGCAGTCAGCGCACGTGGCGCTCGTGATGTTTTGCGTTGCGTTGCATGCTTCCACCACATACTGGTTCTCAGCACACGTGCACGGGTCCATCGTCGTCGTCGTCGTCGTCGTGGTGGTGGTCGTCGTCGTGGTGGTTGCGTTGACAGCTGTCGTTGCGGGCATTGCTGTTGAGTTGGATGGCATGGTCGTGTTTGAGGCCGTGGTTGTCATGTTGGATGGCATGGTTGCAGGCACCGTTGTTGAGTTTGATGCCATCGTGGCAGGCACTGCTGTTGTTGAGTTGGATGCCATGGTTGCAGGCATGGTTGTGTTTGATGGTGCGATTGTCGTTAACGTCTCGTTGCCTGCTCGGCGACGCCGCTCCTGGGAACACGTGCTGCGCGTGATTGGGTCTGTGCGCGCATCAAAGCCAGTGGGCGTGCCAGAGTCACAGACGGTGTCTGCCTCACGCACTGTGACTTGCACGACACTCGCGCCCGTCAGGTTGGCTGCAGCCACAAGGGCTTGCTCAAACTGCAGCGAGGTGCGTTGCACGCGATCAACAGCAGGCTTGGCAGAGAGCCAACACGGAGGTAGGGCTTGTGTGCGAACCACGCAAGGCAAATGCTACGTCTCCACACACACACACACACACACACACACACACACACACACACACACACACACACACACACACACACACACGCACACACACACACGCACACACACACACACACGCACACGCACTGACTTCGGTCTGGTTGAAATCGTTGGCCATGAGGTTGTAAATCTCGATAGTGTGGTTGCGGTTCACACGACACGCCTCCCCATCGCAAGCACGGGCTGCCGAAACATCACACGTGGCGAGGTCATAGTGACAATGTGTGAGATGCAGGCGACAGGACATCGCAGACAAGTCACAGGTTTGGACATTTTGCAGAGCAGGAAGATCGGTGTGTGTGCGTGTGTGTGTGTGTCTGTGTGTGTGTGTGTGTGTGTGTGTGTGCGTGTGTCTGTGTGCGTCTGTGTCTCTGTCTGTGTGTGTCTGTGTGTGTGACCTGGGAAACCACCAAACAAGAACACACGGAAGCAAGAGTGTATGACACCACGACTTCCTCACTCACTCTGTGCGTTGGCGCATTGTGTGAGGCAGGCCATCCCAAGGACAAAGGCCGCAAGAAGCCGTGCCACAAGTGCGCTGGACAGCTGGCTCGAGCTGCCTGTCCTCCCTGTCCGCAGCAAGCAGCGCATTGCGGTTGGTGTTCCTCGACTGCAGTCTTGCGCTTGTGCTGGTCGTCATCAGGGATGCAAAGTCAGTGTTTCCGACCACTCCCCACACCAAGCAAGCCAACGGGGTGGACAACCTTTCCACACAACGCCACCCACACAACGCCACCCACACAACGCCACCAACGCCACCATCGCTGCTTTTCGCTCTGCGACATCATAAAATGGAGTCCATTTGGCCTTGTTTTGTTTGCCGTGCGACGACAACCAACACCACACACACACACGCCCCCACCCGTACACACACACACATACACATCAGCACAGGCGGTGCCTTGGCCACACGAGTGCCATCTGCCAAGCCATCCCCACACTACTTGGCCCTCGACTGCATCACACCATTCTCACGTGCTCAAGTGGCAACAAAGGCCTCACCCCAGCACAACACCTGTCTTGTCCGTGACAAACCAAAACCCACACCAGGAAATGATGATGTGTCGTGGCGTTGTCGTGCTGGTCACCGTGGTGTCCTTGTTCCTGGGACTTTGCATCCAATCACAGCCAACGGCAGCACAAGAGTTGATCCAAAAAGGTGTGTGTGTGTGTGTGTGTGTCTACTTGGGTGCTCGTGCTGGTGCAGGGTCGATTGTTCTGTGTTTTTGACTTCTTTGCACGTTGTTTCCTGACTCGTCCTTGGTGTTGTGTTCAATGCAAAGGATTGCTCCGCATCCACTCACCGCTACGCAAAACTACACACACACTGCAGACTTTGACTCTGTTACGCTGAATCGAACAGAGTGGCTCTGCTACAACGCGGACAGTACTGCGAGTCTTCGCTTGCTGCAAAGCTGTCCGCTGACCGTGTCCGAGCATGCATGGTCGGCCGAGATCCCCTCCGGCTTTGCCACATGCTCCAGCGCGGCTCAGCCCGCCAACGCACAGCAGTTCAATGTGCTCGTGTCGCCGCCCATCTCCGTACCCGACGACCTGTACGTAAGCTTCCGCATCGACTTTACACAGAACAACACCCTGTGTCCCGACGGTGCCTGCGACAGCCAGCTGCTGGTGGCCGTCGTGGACACGGCGGTCCTTGAAAACAACCTGCCGATGGCGGCCGACTACAACTTGTACGTTGTGGACAACGATTTGGCGACGTTCTTCAGCGACATGGCGAGCAGCGGTACCAATTCGCTGGCGCGCATGAGCCTCCTAGAGTCCAGCATCATGTCACCGCGTCTTCGCCGCTCCGTCACGGAGGTGTCCCTCGTCTTCTTCGACCGCGGCACGTGCTCGACCGTCGCCAACGTGACAGTCGTGCGCACGCGGTGCCTGCCGACCGCCGAGCTGTTCAATGCCACGCTGCCTGGAACCGACCTTGGCCGTGCGGCGAGTGGCACGTGCAACGCAGGCTTTGCCTCTGCTGACACGGTCCTTGCCTCGTGCGAGGAGGACGGCTACAAGCTGCTGTCTGGCGACTGCGCGCCTGCCATGACCACGGCAGCACCCGCAGGCACGACCACCGACCCCAACGGCGGCAGCAGCAGCAGCAGCACCGGTGGCCTGGAGCCGGGGCCCATCGCAGGCATTGCGCTTGGCGTGCTGCTGCTCATATTGGGTGGTGTTGCCGCGGGTTTTTTCCTCCGCAGCGGCGGTGGCAGCAACAGGAAGACGGCGCCTGCGCTGTACGAACTTGAGGCGAAGGCGCCGCGCATGAGCGGCATGTACCGGGTGAATCTCAACCTGCAATACAACCAGTTTGACCACGGCGCTGGTGCGGACGACGGCATGTACGAGGTGCGCCCGCAGTCGTTGGTTGAGCTATGCGAGTGTTGTCTGTGTGTGTGTGTGTGTGCGTGCGTGTGTGTGTGTGTGTGTGTGTGTGTATGTGTGTGTGTGTGTGTGTATGTGTGTGTGTGTATGTGTGTGTGTGTGCCGCTGTGTGCCGCTGTGTGTGTGTACCGGTGTGTGTATTGCACTGCAATGCCTCGGAAAACAATCTGCTGTCACAGTCGACGTGCCATCTTCTTCCTTCACACAATCACTCAATCGCACACGCCTTCAACTCCACCGTATCCTCACATCGCCTCCCCCCCCCCCAAAAAAAAAAAAAAAAAACTTAACAATCCCCTCTCAACAGGACCCGTCCAAGTATGAGGACTTTTCGCAGCTGACGTCGCTTGTGAGCCGCAAGACGCGTCACATCCCCTCCGACAGCGTCACCCTCATCGCCTGTGTTGGCAGCGGCGAGTTTGGCGAGGTCTACCACGCAGCCATCAAGTTCGACCCAGCAAAGCCAGAGGAGGTAAATATTGCGTGCATTTGTGTGTGTGTGGTTGTGTTTGTTGATGTATTTTCGCAAAGACTGCTGGCCTCACACACACACACACACACACTCGCACACACACACACTCACTCACTCACTCACTCACTCACTCACTCACTCACTCACTCACTCACTCACTCACTCACTCACTCACTCACTCACTCACTCACTCACTCACTCACTCACTCACACAACAACAACACACACACTCACTCACACACAACAACACACTCACTCACACACACTCACACAACAACACACACACTCTCTCTCATGCACACACACACTCAACCCCCCCCCCTTTCCTTCTGCGTCAGGTGGACTGCGCTGTGAAGACGCTGCGCGAGGGCTCAACGCGCGATGATCAGATTGAGTTTCTCAAGGAGGCCGCCATCATGTGCCAGTTCAACCATCCAAACGTCATTGGTCTCCTTGGCGTTGTCCTCGACAAGACTCCCAACATGATTGTCACGGAGCTCATGCCACACGGCTCGCTGCTCTCCTACCTGCAGAAGCACACCGACACCCCCCTCACGCGCCAGCTGCAGATGTCGCTTGATGTTGCGCTCGGCATGTCCTATCTGTCGAAGAAGGGCTTTGTGCACCGCGACCTCGCCGCCCGCAACATTCTCGTCGCAAACGACCTCACATGCAAGGTCGCCCTGCGTGTCGTGCTGTGTTGTGTGTCTGTGTGTATGAATGTATGTGCGTGTGTGTTGTGTGTTGTGTGTATGAATGTGTGTGTGTGTGTGTGCAAGTGCGTGTGTGTGTGTGTGTGCGCGTGCAAGTGCGCGTGTGTGCGTGCGTCTATGTATTTGGCTCTCTGCCCCTTGCCTGCAAGTCCACCCCTTCGACATGCAGCCATCAGATTTGACCACCACCACCACCACCACCACCACCACCACCACCACCACCACCACCACCACCACCACCATCTTCATTGGCCTTTTGCGCTGCCTGCTGCAGGTTGCGGACTTTGGCCTGAGCAAAGAGATTGATGACAGCTCCGACTACTTCATCTCGGAAGGCGGCAAGGTGCCCATCAAGTGGACCGCCCCAGAGGCCATCCAGCAGAGGTGTGCACTCGTTTGTTTTGTTTGTTTTGTTTGTTTGTTTGCTTGTTTTGTTTGTTTGTTTGTTTGTTTGTTTGTTTGTTTGTTTGTTTGTGTATGTCTGTGTGTGTCTGTGTGTGTCTGTGTGTGTGTGTGTCTGCGCCATCCACAACATCCCCTCCTCACAGCATCACACCACCTCACCGCTGCTACGATCGCCATCACCGCATTGCGCCCACAGGAAGTACACGTCATCCAGCGACGTCTGGTCCTTTGGCGTCGTCATGTGGGAGATTATGGTGAGGCGACCCTTTAAGCTTGCAGGCCCGCGTGCACGCATGTTTGTTTGCTTGTTTGTTTGTTTGTTTGTTTGTTTGTTTGTTTGTTTGTTTGCTTGTTTGCTTATTCGTCGTGGTCGTTCCTCATATGCGTTCTCTCACCCACGCGTTCTGTCACCCACACGTACCAACTCACCAACAAACGCACTTCCCTCCCCTCTGCTTTCCCTGCTCCCCAACGCTTCTTCAGGCCTTTGGCGAGAAGCCCTACGGGACAATGAACAACTTTGAGGTGGTGCGCAAGGTGGAGGAAGGTTACCGGATGGATGCGCCGGCAAACTGCCCCGCCCCCGTGCACACGCTCATGCACATGTGCTGGGAGCTCGACCGGCGGCAGCGTCCAACGTTTGAGGCGATTGTGGACATGCTGGAGAAGATGACGCGCGAGGCAACAAACAACGTCAAGCTTGGTGCGGCATTGCGGCGGTGGCGGTGGTGGTGGTGGTGGTGGTGGTGGTGCTGATAATGGGACAATGGGATCCTGTGGTGCATGCGATTGCCCACCCCAGTGCACCTCTGCACGAACCACACACACACACACACACACACACACACACACACACACACACACACACACACACACACACACACACACACACTTTCTCACACACACACTTTCACACACACTTTCACACACACACACACACACACACACACACACACACACACACACACACACTACCTTTCAGAGGAGCCTGGTCGCAGCCGCACATATGAGCGGCCGGAGTCTGGGATGGACTACGACGTTCCTCGACGAGAGAAGACGGCAACAGCAGCAACGGCGGCGGCGGCGGGGGTGGCAATGCAGCCACCACAACACGGGCAGCAGCAGCAGCAGCAGCAGCAGGTGTATCAGCCAACATACCAGCTGCCACAGGATGATGTGAAGCAACAGCAGCAGCAAGCACAGCATCAGCATCAGCAGACATACCAGCCCACGTATCAACTACCACAGGACAATGTACATCAGCAGCAGGCGCAACAACAGCAACAACAGCAACAACAGGTGTACCAGCCCACATACCAGCTGCCGCAAGACAATGTTGGGCGCCAGCAGGGTGGCGGAACAACGTACATCCCACAGCCGCAGCTGTCGCAGCAGCAATCCCAGCAGACATACCAGCCAACCTACCAACTGCCACAAGACACTATGCAGCGCCAACAGCAGCAGCAGCATGGTGGGCCAACATATGTTCCACAGCCAGCGAGCTCACACACGCCCGCGAATCAGATGACGTACCAGTTGCAGCCAAACACAACCGCGCAACCGGCAAGGTGGGCGATGTGCATATGTAGTTGTGTGTGTATGTCTGTGTCTGTGTGTGTGTGCCTGTGTGTCTGTGTGTATGTGTCTGTCTGTCTGTCTGTGTGTGAGTGTCTGTGTGTGTGCGTCTGCACATGTCTGTCTGTCTGCACGTCTGTGTGTCTGCACCTCATACAGGACACACTTTCCCTCACACTCACACTCACACCACATGCTCTCATCTCCCCCCCCCCTCGATCTCCACAGCACCAGCAGCGCGATGCTTCCGCCGAGCGACCCGGCACCGTCGCGCCCACGACCAAAGCCGCGACCAAAACCGCGCTCGCGGCAGTCGTCAACACGGCCCCCGCACGCAGAGACGGACATCTGATGTGGTGACATGAGAACAGTGTGTGTGTGTGTGTGTGTGTGTGTGTGTGTGTGTGTGTGTGTGTGTGTGTGTGTGTGTTGCATGCTCGCTGCTGTTTTCCACCATTCATGGTGGTTTATGTATGTAGTTCTGAGCGAGCGAGAGAGAGAGAGAGAGAGCACCCAATGAGTGAGTTGTTGACCATTTTTCTTCTTCATTGATTGATTGATCGTTGCCAGTTAAGAGTGCCGAGAACGCCCGTCTTGGGTGCGATACAACATCACAAAACCAAAAGCAACACATTAAAATCAAACAACACCACATCATCAAACAAACCAACTAACGCTCTTGCAGGCACACAGATAAGAAACAACAACACGCAGCGCGGGTGTGGAAGCAGACGGGTCAGTTACAGTGGTGGCTGGTGGTGAATGATAAGAGGTGTGAGGGCGACACAACACATGTCGCTGAAGTACAGAGAGAGGGTGGGAGGGTTGACTACTGTCGAGGATTAAGAACAAAGCGATAAGGGACAAGGAGCCATGAGGGGGGTGGTGTACATGTCATGATTGGCGATGCAAGGGCTCACCGCCCAAAGTCCTTGAGGTTCACCTTGACCTCTTCATCCGTTTCAAGACCAATGTCGTTCTGTGGTGGCAATGCATTGCGTGTATTGTGTCGTGTTGTGATGCGATGGTGTTGTGTTGGCATGTTAACAGTGGGGTACAGTGGGTGACATCCACCCAAATGCACTCACATTGCACATCCAAGCATCCACGCACACATTATCTATCCATCCATCGGAGCATGCATGCGTGTGACGTACGAAAAGCGCCTTCTTTGGTTTGGGGTAGCTCTCCAAAATCTGGTCCAGGATGTCCGTTGCCTGAATAGAAGATGAGGACGTGGGAACAGCAATCGTCGAAGATGAGCACGCTGACTCCAAACACAAGCCCAAGCTCAGACAAACACATGTACAAGTACACACACACACACACACACACACAACACACACACGCACACACACACACACACACACACACACACACACACACACACACACACACACACACACACACACAAGTACACACACACACAAGTACACATGCACACAGCTGCACAGACGCAAGGCCCTTCCCACTCTCCCCCGCTCCTCTTGCTACCGCAGCCCCTCTGCCGCCCACCATGCGCTTGCGTCTGCGCCAGAGCTTGACCGCTTCGTCAAACTTCTTGTTGATCTTGTTCTTGTCGGCCTCTGTCACCGATTTCCCGTCAGACCGCAGCGCCTTCAGCTTCCCCTCCTTCTTCTCATTCTGTGTGTGTGTGTGTGTGTGTGTGTGTGTGTGTGTGTGTGTGTGTGTGAGGATGAAGCATCTGCCACAGCAAGCAGGTGAGTTGCACACAGCCGCCCTTGCATGCTGTTGAACTTACCCTCTCCTGCACTTCTGTGAGCGCCTTCTCTGCGTCTGCAGTCTCCGGTGTCGCCAGCGTGGACGACAACTCTGCACACACATGCACAAATGAGCACGTGAGCCCCTCAAGCAATTGAATCACGCAAACATGCAGTGCGCACAGCAAATACGCAGCGCAGCAAGGGACGCTGACGCACTTGATTGCAGCTGATCACACTCGGATTGCAGGCCTTTCATCTCCGCCTTGAGCTCCTCCAACTCCTGGAAATGGAACGACGGCGCAAGCAAGCGGCAACACGACGAGAAGTGTGTGTGTGTGTGTGTGTGTGTGTGTGTGTGTGTGTGTGTGTGTGTGTGTGTGTGTGTGTGTGTGTGTGTGTGTGTGTGTGTGTGTGTGTGTGTGTGTGTGTGTGTGTGTGTGTACGTGAGTTAATGGTGAAAATGGGAGGGGACGACCACGATGCTTGGGAGACATTGCAGGCCGATGCTCGGGAGACATTGCAGGCCGATGCCTGAGAGACATTGGATGCCGCACACAAGGGCGCACGTCACGCATAATGCAGACCTTGTCCAACGCCGTGAGCTCTTCCTTGCTTAGCTTTGGGAACTCGGACTTGATGAGAGGAGGGAACAACGGAGCAGTTGGGGAAGTGAGCTGTGGATCAGAACGGGCAGCAGCAGCCAGCAGCAGCCATGGTGGCATGAACACGCAGTCGCACGCGAAACACCACATCAGTGCCAGCCGTATCACCTGAAGTGGGAAGTAGATCTTCTGCTTGCCAAAGACCTTCTCCGTGATCTGCCCGTCAGCAGCCATCTTGGCCAACACCCTCGTCAGGGCCTGCATTTCAACGATGGCACAGGGGCAGCGCGTCAAAAGGAAGGATGGATGGATGGATGGAAGGAAGAGCAGCGCGTGCTGTGCTTTGGGACATGCACAATTGTTGCAAACTGTGTGAATGTGAGGGCGAACAAAACCAAAGACTCGATGCCACACGACACAGCAGCCAGCAAACGCACCGTCTTGCCGATGGCCTTGTGCAGGTTCATGAACAAGTCATCTGCAACAACACGCGAGAACACGGGGGTGAGAAACAAAGCAGCGGCCTTCCTGGAAAGAGGTTGCAAGGATAACACAACACAACACGGCAGGGGCCTGCACAAATGATGGACGCACTGGCATTGTATGGGCGGTTCTGGCGAGTGAGATACTCCAGCAGCACCTTGGCTGCCTCTAAATAATACAAGTGATTGTACAGCACGCGTTAGCCAGTCAAGGGTGAACAAGCGATGCACTAGCTACACACACACACGCACAGCGGTTTGCATCCCCACACGCATCCGCACACACGCATTTACACGCAGCCGCGCACGCATATCCATCCATTTGTCTGTCTGCTGGTGGTTGATCCCTCACCATCCTCGTCCTTGATCTGCTTTGGCTTCTTGGCTTTTGGCGGCATGTTGCGACTCGTTCAGTTGTGCGCTGAAATTTGTGAACGCTGCCACGATTCTTCCTAACTTCATGGCGCGTTCTGTGCGTGTGTGTGTGTGTGTGTGTGTGTGTGTGTGTGTGTGTGTGTGGTGTGTGTGTGTGTGTGTGTCTGTGTGTGTGTGTGTGTGTGTGTGTGTGTGTGTGTGTGTGTGTGTGTGTGTGTGTGTGTGTGTGTGTGTGTGTGTGTGGTTTGTTTCCCCGCTCTCCCGCTCTCCCGCTCTGCCGCCAAAGGGCAAAGTGGAAGGAACACCTGAAAACGAACAGGAGAAGAGAACAGTGCTGCTGGGATTGCAGGTGTATTGGCCCTGCCTCAAACAATGCAAGGCGTCCTTCTACTGCGAGCTAACTTAGCATGACGGAACCGCAGAAATGACGTGGCCGTAGGAGTAGGAATTGGCCCTGCGTGCCAACATGCAAGAGGGAGGGAGAGAGGGAGAGAGATGTGCGCCCGCAGACAACGACGCATACACACACAGCAAACAGACACACACACACGCACACACACACACAAACAGCGGCCAAGCAGGGGCAACGACAGAGTTGTGTCACAAAGGACACGACTGCACCGAAAGGAGACCGAGCAAGAAAGGATGTACAGCAGAGCTTGAGTCCAAACACACATGCAGCACACACACACACACATGCAGCACACACGCACAGCACACACAACACAACACATCAGCATCCTGGGTCGATGACGAGGACAGACTCTGCATAGTGTGGAACGCCGTAGATGAGGCCATTCGGAGCGAGAACGCCATCCCACCACTCGGCATTGGCGTCAAGGTTGGCGATGCTCGTTGTATCAGTTGCATTGGTGGCTGGATCAAAGATGAGGACCGATGGCGAGGTGTACGGGATGCCTACGATGTTGTTGCCGTTGGGCGCAAGTACGCCGCCAATCCACTTGTGATCAAATGTCAGTTCTGCAACAGCAAGCTCATTCGTGGCGTTGGTCGCCGGGTTGATGACGAGCGTCGTCGCGGCAGCACCTGGGATGCTGTAGATGAGACCATTGCCTGCAAGCACGCCGCCCCACCACTTGCTGTTCATGCCAAGGCCACTGATGCTCGTGAAGTCCATCGTCAGGGACGCAGGGTTGATGATGAGGACAGAAGGAGCCGTTAAAGGGACGCAATAGATGAGCCCGCTGTCTGCTTGCACGCCGCTATACCACTTGTCGTTTTGGTTCGACAGCCCGGACAGCGAGGTGAGGTCGGCTGTGTTGGTTTCGGAATCAATGATCAGCACAGCCGTTGCGTAGTAGGGGATGCCGAAGATGACGCCCTCACTTGTCACCACGCCACCGTACCACTTGTACCTGTCGGAGCCGAGCGAGCCAATGCTGGTGGTGTCAACGGCGTTGGTGCTCGGGTCGATGACGAGCATCGTCTCTCTATCTGAAGGGAACATGTAGACGAGGCCGTTTGGTGCCGATACAGCACCGGCCCATTTGGCCAAGTCTGTTCCGAGCTCTGCGATCGAGGTCATGTCGGCAGTGTTTGTGCTCGGGTCGATGATGAGGACAAAAGGGGAGTTAAACGGCGCAGCGTAGATCCGGCCGTTGTCCGCCAGCGCGCCACCAAGCCACTTTGCGTTCTGCGAGCCCAGCTGGCCAAACGCCCTCGCCCGCCTCTTCAGCTGGCAGAGCTCGGTACTTGTGCGCCGCAGCGCCTCGATCGTGCTCTGCTGCACGGACAAGGTACTCATCAGCGTAATGAGCGTCTCGTGCACATTGATCCCATTCACAAACACGGGCTGGCTCGTTGGATCGCTCGTGTTGATGTGGAACGCACCCGCATCGTCCTCCTCCAGCGTCACCTCTCCACCAACGCTGCTGATGAACGGCATCATGGCCAACACCACCAACAACAATACTAGTGCCTGCACGCACCCTGGTCTCATCACGGCCTTTTGTTCGTGGTGTTTTGTTGTTCAAATCACAAAATAAAAAGAACGCAGGCTGGCGAGATCGCAAAAACTTGATTACGTTATGTGAGACACAAGAACAACAAGAAGGCTCACCATCCACCCACTCAGCTCTCTCCCACATCGTTTTGCTCCGCCTTGACCCCGTGCGTGTGTTTACAAGTGCTTTCAGCTGACCTAAACACACACACACACACACACACACAAATAAACAACTGCATCACGCACTCGTCAGACAACGAGAAAACTGAAACACGCAACATCAGCGCATGCATCCTGCGCTTGCCATTCACTCCCCATCGCCTCCGTTCTGCAGAGCAGTGAGCTCACTCTCATCCAACTCAGACCAGTTGTCAGGATCATCATCAAACTCATCATCCTCCTCATCATCCATGCCCTCTTCATCATCCTCCTCATCATCATCCATGCCCTCTTCATCCTCCTCATCACCTTGCTCCTCCTCCTCCTCCTCCTCCTCGTCATCATCGCCTTCGCGTGCCTCTTGCCCACCTTTCTCCTTTGTATCACCATCATCATCATCATCAGCACCATCATCATCACCATCACCATTTGCTGCTGTTGTTTTCTTGGCCTTCTTGGCTGGGTTCGCCTCGCCATCTTCCTGCACCACATCCTCCTTCGCCTCGTCATCCCCAGCGCCACCATCAGCATCACCGCCCTGGGCTGCCTTTGCTTGCTGCTTGGCGGCCAGCTTGGCTGCGCGCTTTGCTGCCCGCGCCTTCTTCTTGTCCTGCTTCTTCTTGCGGCTCTTCCTCTTCTTCTCCCGCCTCTTGCGTCGCTTCTCCTCCTTGGTCTCGTCAGACACGTACGTGTTGTCGATGCCCGCAAAGTCAAACGTGCACGTGTCCTCGCTAAACGCAAACGCCGCCACGCTGGCAAACGCAATCTGCTTGCGCGATGCCTTGGGCACGGGCGCATCCTCGTCCTCCAGCAGCTCCCGCACAACCTCGCGGTGTCCGCAGAAGAGCACGTCCTTGCCCATGCTCATGGTGATGCAGTCAAGCACGGCCTCAAACGCCGTCGTGGCGTCTGAGTCCTCCACCCGCTCCATGGCCGGCAGCGCTGCCGCCTCGCTGCCGCTCGTGTTGTTGTTGTTGTTGCTGTCGCTCTTGATGGCGGCCAGCATGGCACCACACGTCTCACGCAGCTCGTCCATGGATGCGACGGGGACGGTGGTGATGTCCTTGTTGCGCAGCGCACGCGTGCACGCCGCGAGGCCCTGCACGATACGGATGGGAATGCCAAGGTGGTCCGCCACAATTACGGCCGTCTGCATGCAACGCATCAGCGGGCTGGAGTAGATGCAGGCAAAGGGCTGCTCTGCGTGGCGCTGCTGCAGGTGCGCTGACGCCGTCAGCGCCTGCTGGCGCCCGCGTTCTGTGATGGGAGGGTCATACACGCGGCCGCTCTTGAGCCACGTCTCATGCTCCTCCATGTTCTCTGCCCGCTCTGCATGGCGCAGCAAGTACACGGTGCAGTCAATCTGCGCGTTTGCAGCTTGCTTGAGCGCTTCCCGATCCCGCTCTTGCTCTTGCTGTTCCTGCTGGAGCTTCTTCTTCTGTTTCTTGTTGAGCTTCTGCTTCTTCTTCTTCTTCTTCTGTTGCTGCTGTGTCTGTTGCTGCTGTTGCTGTTGTTGTTGCTCCTTGCTTGTGTCATCCACTGTCGTCGTCACTGTGGCTTGTTCCGCCGTCGCTGCATCCGATGGCTGCTCCTTCGTCGTCACTGCCGTCACATTACTGCTGTTGTTGCTGTCGTCCTCTCGTTGTTGGTGTTGTTGTTGCTGCTGTTGTTGTTTTGCCTTCTTGCTGGTGCGCTTCTTTGCGCTGCCGTTGCGCTTCCTCGGTGGCATCGTTGAATGTGACTGAAGGATGTGGTGGGGCAAAGGGGTTGAATGAGGAGGAGGAGGAGGAGGTTGAATGAGGAGGTGGTGGTGGGAGAGTGGGAGAGTGGTGCACGAGACGCGACCACGTGTGCGGCGGATTGGTGGGGTTGACTGGCCCTCGTTGCAAATTGCAAGTTTGCCTGTTTGCAATTGGCAAACATGGTCATTTGTGAACCGTTGTGCTCTCTTTGGCAACGACGAGCACACACACACACACACACACACACACACACACACACACGCACACACACACACACACACGCACACACACACACACACACACACACACACACACGCACCTCGCTCGAACGGAGGATGGATGGTGGTGAAGGGCATCAGGGGAATGGAGTACACACCACCGCCAACGACACAGACAACGGACACAATGAGTGCGAGAATGGCAGTGGCAACCGCGACAAGAACAAGTTTGCGATATGGACAAAGAAAAAGGCGCGAAGACCCCCGCAGCGAGAACATGACGAGGGCGATGTGGATGATGACGAAGAGGTGGAAGAGGACGCGGCAGAGACAGACTGCATGTGCTGCTGCTTGAGGCGACACAAGAGGAGGCACCGCGACAGCGCCGGCGAGGACCGCGCACATGACAACGCCAGCGGTGGGAACGACAAGCACGACAGAGTCGATCGGGGAGCAGCGACATCCATGGCATTGCAACGGAAGCAGTGGAAGGAGAAGATGAAACAGAAGAAAAAGGCCGTGGATGCGGACGGGGCGTTTGTGCGACGCACAGGCTGGACCCTGCCCTTGAACTGGCAGCAGGTGATGGCCTGGGTGATTGTGGGCGTGATGCTGTTGCTCCACTTTGGGCTGGTGGCGCCGACGTTCCCGGAGAGGTGGCAGGCCACGCCATACTTGACTGTGGGCGGCCTGTTTGTGGTGTTGATTGTGCTGCTATTCGTCTGCACAACCATGGACCCGGCAGACAGGAATGTGCGCTACGACACAGTGCGCCCGCTGACCATCGACCGGTCCAAGCGGAAGCACGTCATCATGGACAGCCACTGCTACTTTTGCCGGGTGTATGTGAGCTCGCGCGCCAAGCACTGTAGCGCCTGCAACAAGTGCGTGTCTGACTTTGACCATCACTGCCGATGGATGAACAACTGCGTTGGGGGACGGACTTACAAGTAAGTTCATGATCAAGAAGGCAAAGGGAGAGGGGTACATGTATGTGTATGCGTGCGTGCGTGTATGCGTGCGTGCGTGTGGGTGTGGATGGGGGGGTGGGTGTGGGTGTTGGTGTGCGTGTGTGTGGGTGTGTACGTGGGTGCGTGCGTGTGGGTGTGTGCGTTTGCATGCTTGGTATGCATACGTGCAAATCCACATGCATCATGTGCGTCGTGTGCTTGTCATGCACTGCTGGCTTTCTCTCTCGCTCACATGCAGTGCACCACACACGGCCACAACCAACAACCAACACCCACCACGACATTGACAAAAGGCTCTTCTTCTTGTGTGTGCTGAGCGGGTCGCTGGCTGCGTTTGGGGAGGCCATCTGCTGCCTCTATCTTCTCGTCACCCTCTATCAGCAACAACACACGTTGAGCGGTGGTGCGTTGCACTGGCTGTGCGAGTTTGCTTTGTTTGGTTGTTGGTTGGCTGGTTGGTTGGTTGGTTGCAAGTTGCTGCTACTACCATGGCTACTGTTTGTTGCACGGTGTTCTGCTGTCAGTGCAGTTTGTGGCTGCTGTTGTAGCTGCTATGATTGCTGGTGTTGCTAGTGTTGTGCTTGTCAGATCGTGTACTTCACCAGCAACTGCCGTCCTCACTCACTATCAGCATCCGCGTGCAATCCCAAAAGACACTCACACACACACACACACACACACACACACACACACACACACACACGCACACACGTTTATGTGCTCGCATATATTCGCCATGCTGCTACAGCACCAGCCGTGTTCTGCGGGCGGGATGTGTCGCGAGCAACAGCGACGGGGTTGCTGAGCATCACCCTCATCTTGGCGCTACTGGCTGCCGCTTCCTTGACACAACTCCTCGTCTTCCACATTATGCTCGGTGAGAACTGTTGTTGTTGTTCTTCTTCTTCTTGTTCTTCTTCTTGTTGCTGTTGTGAAGTCGTGCGTTATCGGTGCAAATTGCACTACCTGCAAGTCGTTTCCACCCCCACCCCCCTTTCACTGCCCCAATGACCCTCTTCCACCCCTCACCCCCTCCCCCCCCCCCCCAAACCTCCATATCACCATGCCGCCGCTGCAGTGTTCAAGAGATTATCCACCTTCGACTTTATCAAGCTTCAACGCGAACAGGAGGCCATGCAGCAAGCCGAGAACGGGGAAGCGCCAGCATGATCAAGATTGGCGCCAATTGTCGTGACTTGGGATCAACTATGTATTTGCACTTTGTAATGGACACCCCCATCTGAGGGGAGCGGCAGTGGTGGTGGTTCGCGCTGCTGCTTGCTTGCTTGCTTGCTTTACTGGCTTGCTGCCGACTGATGTGGCTCGGTGTGCGGTTGTGCCTTTTTGGGTTGGATTGGTCTTTGATTTGACATGCACATGTAGTCGGCTGGCATCACAAACACAGCAGCAGCTGGTTTTGACATCATCTGTGCGCACGTGTGAAACACCACCACATGTGTAAATCACGGCAACACGTGCTGGCTTGGTCAACAATGGTGTAGCTGTGCAATGAGGTGTGCCATGTGTGTACATACGCTGTTTGTGTGTATGTACATTCATCGCGGATCATGTGATGACGCGGTCAGCGCTTGCAGTGTATTGCACATCTTCTGTCACTGATCACAAACTTGCCGTGCAACAGCACACAATGGGCACAACGTGCCACGTTGCGGAAAAGCGAGCGAGAGAGTTGAGCCCTTAAGCCCGTCTCATCGCGTCATCTCGTCATCTCGTCTCATCAACCAACACCAGCGCCAGTCGAAGAAAGCCCGCCACATGTGGAGGGTGGGAACGTGATTGGAGGTCTGCGATGTCTCTAACTCGGCTGGAGGGAAGCGAGCTCTGTTCTGTCTGATAGATTGCTCACATGAAAGCATGAAGTGCAACAGCTCAGAAAGTGTGCGGCAACAAAACGCAATATGCAAGCGCAAGGGATATTGCCTGCGCAGATCGCACTATCGCATGTGGTTACCTCTGCCTCTCTACTTCTGGGCTTTCTCTTTCCATAACCATCTACACTGCTCTGGGTGACATTACCTCACTCCACTGACGACGAAACGCACCCCCTTGCTTGGCTCAAACTCACAAGAAGAGAAGAAGGTTCGAAGGGCGGGCAGCGCCTCGATAGTTCGATGGAAGGCAATGGAAGAAGAGATGAAGACACTTACTTGCGTAAGATTTTTTTTGGTGTGTCACAAGTCATGCAAAATGGTGTGTCATCATGTCACTTTTTCATCACAGTTTCCACGTCGTTCATTCTTTCACACGCGACACTGTCGTCGTGTTGGGAATGCGCCGCACATGCCCATGCCGTGAGTTGGCGCGCGCGCGCTGATAAGTCTGAAGCCTGCTGTGAAGCACATCACCCCAGACTTACTCATGCTCACGTGATAGGACAAGCTTCCGAGCAAGCTTCTACTTGTGAGAAAAGCATGGACTGGGTATTGTTGTGTTGTTTACATTTCCATTTGCGGGAGTTCATTTACACCACAACCTCCTCATCGTCCATCGACCTATCGACATCAACCTCCCCAAGTGCACACACTCCTTCGTCCTTTCGTCGTCGTTTCACTCTCGCACTGCTGTTTGTGCGCTTCATCAGAGCCTGTGCGCAAGACTCGCACACACCCACACGTTTACAACAAGCAGGCACCGGACCAGACGATCAGCTTCTCTGCGCGACTCTCTCCCTCTCTTCCCCTCACACTGAAGTTGCACGCTTCCCAACCAAAACGACCGCGACCACACTCCAGGTAATCACGCCTCGTCCTGGACGCACTGCAAGCGTAACACGTTGCGTGGTGACCTCATTGCTACAATCGATTACGGCTGGGCCTGACGCATCCGTAACCCTCAGTAAGCAGTCTCTCTCCCCTCTCTCCTTCGCTGGCTCTTGCTTGGCTGCTTGGACTGGTAATGCATTTCATCGCAGCAGCGCTTGCCGCAGTTCCAACAGGCGTACGTGCCCCGCCATTTCCAAGTTACAAAACGCCAACATCAGGACATGCTCCCTGCTGGAACCCAAAACGCCGCCCGCCGTGAGGCACTACTGGACAGCGGCATTTTGAAAGGCACCAAAAAGAATCCTGGCAGCCCCAATGCCCAGAGGCCCGTTGTCACTTTCGTATGTCTTCTTGGTCCTGGTGCTGATGGGGGCTGCGTGTGCGTGGGATCACTCAGCCGCGCCCAGCAATCTTCTCCTACCCCACGATCATGTCAGCCAGTTGCAGGCGTTTGCTCGAAGTTTTTGGAGGCACGCAGGAACTCACCGGTGAATTCGCGTGCTTCACGTTCTGGGATTGACTACCAAACGGCAATTCTTGGGCTTACGTTGAACCAGGGTGGGGACAGTGCACCTGCACTTGGCTTTGAAACCAACCCTTGGTATCTCAATCTACCTTTGCTCGAACTCGAACGGCATTCTTGGCTGAGTCCTACATCAGTCGCCATAATGGCGGCGAGAATGATCACCTTCTCCGTATTGTGGATTTGTCAACGCATGGCGTGGGTAATGTACTTGCTTGCGCTGAATCGATGGCGGAGAATCCAATCCCGTACGGCATGGGCCATGTCATGGCGTTTGTTGCGACACAATCAAGCTGGCACGAGCATCTTTGTCAAACGTACGGGTGTAAACGCGGTGCCGCACTTGACGCACATGATAGCTTTGGGCTTGGCTCTCGTGTGGTTCCTGGCGCACAACCCTTCTGCTGGGTATCAGCAACCCAAACATGAACAACATGGGAATGGCCAAACCCCTAGGAAGGGAAGGCGCTACCATGACCACACTTGTCACCGTCGCCCTCGGCAAAGCCAAGCCAAGCCGCGGCCGGTGACCTCAAAGCACGAGGGCAGCGACTTTCGGCACAGCAACTCCCTCCTTCAGCCAAAACAGCACTTGCTGCAGCCAGCCCCTGAACAGCGAGCTGCACATTCATGTGTAGTAGAAGGGAACCACAGCGTGTGCAAAGAAGGTTTAACTCAGACGGTTCGCCTGCTTCTCCTCCTCCTCCTTGAACCTGCCACACGGCAGCACATGTGTCGTCAGGCCGGCCATCTTTGCGACAAGAACAAACGCTTCGAGCCAGCATGCAAGAAGCCGCAGAAGCCGCAGAAGCCGCAGAAGCCTTTCGTACAGGAGACCCGCTGCGGAACCGGAAACGAAACAGACAGCACTGCCAACAGAACTGCCAAGAACAAGGCGACATCCAGCAGCAATGGCATTTCGTGCACCAAGAAGAAGAAGAACAATACTCATGACACTTGGCCTGGCTTCGCGGATATCAAGCATGGTTGCTGTGCTGGGCTTATGAATGAGCCAACGTTTGCAGAGCAGACACCGACAGTGAAAGACGCAGTCAAAGCTGCTAAAGCTCATACTTTGGTGGCAGTTGAAGCTGTTGAGCTGCCTGCAGGCAAATGGTCTCTGCATCAAGAGGCTTGTTGTATTGACTGGTATGAGAACATCTCCTCCTCCAAGTCGGCTTGTGTTGAGGACTGCCGTGGCGTCGCTGGCTGTGTCGACGACGTTCAGTCAGAGTTTGCACATCAGCGCGCTCACTCCCAACACGCAGGCGAGGACAGAGGACACACCAAAACCACAGTGAATGTTGTCGACAAGAATCGCGGACACCTTGAAGAACGTTCGCATTATCGCGGTGATGGTGTGTCAAGTTCACATCTTCTGCGCGCAGCTCGCACCGTCCTCCAGAGCCAGTCATGCATGTTGCTGACTCATCAAGAGGAGGAGGACAAGGACAATCCCTTGGAGGCTGTAACGGTGGTTGGTGTGGCTGATGCTCAGGATGCCGGTGTTGGTGGCATTTCCCCTGAGCCCGACTGCGAAGACGACACTCCACACAGTCACAGAAGGCAACCAACACAGCAGCAGGAGCAGGGAAGTGAGGCATATCAGCCTTTGTTCACTGGCCCATCACCCCAGCACATGTCCCTCTCCACCGTCCTGTGGCCGCAGTTCAACGCCCTGTCCACCGTTTACCGCGAGGCATCGACGCGGTTCACCCGCACCCTGCAACGGTCAAAACAGTCCTTGACATCCTGCTGGGAAGACACCATCCTCTTTGTGTCGTCGTCGCTGAAGCTCACCGGCGACAAGAATCGGGACAAGAACAGCACCACTGAAAGCACGGCGCTGGCCAGCAACGGCTGTGCCAAGTTGGGAGGGCTCTCGTCTTTGGTGCGCGAGCTGGTTTCCACATGGACCGTGCCCAGCATGCCAGTTGTTTCTGTCGCACCAGTGTTGCCCCACACCCAACACTTTCAAGCCGAAGTCGATGTGCAGCAAGATCTGCAACAAGACCTGCAGCAACGACAGTCGATACAGCACAGGCAACAGTACCGTGGCCATGAACACAGGAGGAAGATCAGTGATTCTGGTTTCTGGGAAGACTGGCCTGATGAGGTTGGTGTGGATGACCTGCACAACCATCGCCAGCCACAGCAGCACCAGCAGCCACATCAGCACCAGCCACAGTACCCGTTCACCAGTTTCAATGACACAACTGACTATCTGCAGCCACTCATCACCATCGACAGCCTGTACAACACCACTGACACGGCAGGCAGTGGTGTGGCAACTCCTCCGGTTGAGCCTGCAACAAATGCGGCAGCTCAAACAGCAAGCATCATGGGTCAGAGTCCACCACCACCACGTGAGTTGCCGGCGCCAGCGCAGCGCACCGAGTCAAATGCCCTCTCTGCTGCTGCCATGCACGGCACAGGCACCCAGCCATACGATGATTTCAGCGGCCAACTTGACTGGCCGGCCTGTGATGACATCCAGAGCTTCCTCTTTGACAGCGGTACGATGTGCAAGCAGCCTGACTATAACAACAGCGACGCGCGTGCGCAGCTTTTTGGTCCTGTCTCACAGCCTGAGACGATCGCGCCACCTTCAGCCACAACATTCACGAGCACGAGCGTGATGCCAGAACCCATGCCCACCAACGCCTCCGCTTTGATTCAAACGCCAGCCCCGTCACGACGAGCAACGACAACTACCCTCGCCTCTGCCCCCATCGCTTGCGCAACCACAACGTCGTCCCACCTTCCAATTCAACTTTGTCAGGTCCGATCCGAAACACCAAGGGCGACAGCCACGACGACGAGTGCACCGGCGCAATTTCAACAACAGCCACCCCTTGATGGTGTGTCGCCTGCGGCCTCGCGTGTCGCAAACCCCGACTGGGCCCACCCACAACCACCGAGGTCCACGTATTCATCTGCGAGATGTGTCAGAGACTCCACCGCCACGAATCTTCCTTTCACGTCTTCTTCCGCGTCCTCCCGCTTCCCCACAACTTCATTCTCTTTCTCGTCATCTGCTTCAACGACACAAGGCCCCACCTCCTTGACCACAGGCAGCAGTACTCTCGACAGCACAGCGTGGCGGCCCCTGTTACGCACGTCTTCGTCATCATCGTCATCGTCATCATCATCTGCATCCTGGCCGTCGAACGAGCATGGCGGACTGCAGCAGCGCCAGCACAAGCGGCGGCGCACGCGGCACTGCAGGGCCTTCCCACCGCCACCAAGGGTGTATGAAGAGTATGGTGCGTACATGGCTGCATTTATGGCTGCCAGCCCACGTGACAAGGAGAAGATGCTGCGGGACCGAAGGCTGACGACAGACCGATACGCACAGCTGAGGTACTGGGCAAAGCGTGTGGACCCAACGCACCACGCCGTGCTGGGTGCATATCGCACCCGCATGAACAACCGCAAGAACAAGCGGCACCAGCGGCAGCGCGAGCGTGCTGCATCCACGGCAAAGTCGCGGTCACGCAACCCAATGCCAAACCTGGCTCTGAAAGAGCTAGCAGCCACGATACAGGGCGGAGGTGTGGGGTGGTCGAGCGGCCCCAGCATGTTCCCAGTGGCACGATCGCCACAGGCGTCACCGTTCTTCGAACCGTGGCAAGCCCAGACTGCGAGCAGCTTCTTTGGCTTTGCCAACACCCCAGGGACAAGGACAGGGCGCAGCCAGTCGTCTCGACCAAACCCTCTCGACCAAGAGCTGCCACCATGTGATCCGCAGTGGCTGCCACCGCGATCGCGTTTCCCACAAGAACAACAAGAAGCTGAAGAGTTCGCCATGGCATTTGATGTGCCCATGATGTGAACTTTGAAGCGATGTTTGAACTCATTGTGGAGCGATGTGGTGATGTTGTCGCTTTCTTTGTCTTGGTCTTGCCATTGGTGCGAGTTCTGTTCCCGTGTGTCTTTGTGTCGTGTGATTCAAGCTCAAGGGGGAAGGAAGGAAGGAAGCAGGGAAGGAGAAGAGCGCTTGCAGTCCGATGTGTTCGCGAGTGTCTCGTTGGGTGTGGACTGTTTGTGTGTCGCGTTTCACTGCCTAGTCATTGACCGTTGTTGTTGTTGCCTGGAAGTGATGTGACCTCTTCAGTCTTATCAATGTCGTTGGCCCATGGCTGTGCAAATGGAAATCCTACCGATGACAACCGCACACACGCACACACACACGCACACTCTCTCCCGTCAAGGCGTTTTCACTGAACAGCTATGTCGAGTTGGGTAGTCGAGGGTCGTTTAATTATCATGGGTCTCATCAGGCATATCACAGCAGCACGCATTGGGCACAAAACGGGCGCCAAGCGTGCATGCGCTCACAGGTACATCTTCTTGCGGTCCACGTACATGTCTGCCTTGGCGACAAACTCGTAGTCGCCGTACTTGGTGTCAAATGTGCCACGCTGTAACGACTGCAGTTTCAGCTGTTTGGTGCAAAACGTGGCCATGATGGTGGCGGGCAAACAAGCGAGGGCGAGTGAGTGAGTGAGGACATTGCTTTTCACCAACAACCGGAACGAGCAGAACCTGGCATGAATGACACACACACACAATCAAACAAACGCACACACACACACACACACACACACCGTGAATTGCGGGCCAATCTCCTGGAGGCCGACGCGCTTGGTGTCGCGGAAGATGTAGCGGTGCCTGCGGAAGAAGATAAAGTCGCGCTGGCAGTGGAAGGTGACGACGCTGCGGCCGGTAAACTCCGGGTGCTGCGGGAAGAGCGACTGGAACATGCGCGACACCTGCTTGCCGAGGCGCGTATTGAAGTTGGTGGTGAGCACCTCGGGGAAGTGGCCCGTGTCCTTTGCGGTGCCGTGGATGTCCTTTGGCCAAACAACGCTGGAGAGTTTAAAGTGCGCGGTGGGCCCCGACGGGAGGTGGCTCATGACCAGGGACTCGGCGCGCCGCATGTTCTGGTTCACAACAATCAGCGCCGTGTACCCGCGCGCAGAGGCCTGCTCCACAATGGTCTTGAGCGGGAAACCCTGGGCACGACACGCACGAACACGAGGGGTGAGGTTAGTGGGGTTGACTCGTTGATCATGAAAGACAAGCAGGTTGTCAGATCGCGCGTGCGCGGTGATGGTGATGGTGGTGGTGGTGGTGGTGTGGATAAGGAGGAGAAGTTGATGCACGGTGGAGAAGACGATACATGATGGAGAATAGAACGTAGCACAGAATGAGGAAAGAAACGAAAGAGGAAAACGAGGGAGTGGTGGCTTCTGAGGTCAGTGAGAGGAACCATGTTCTTCCGCATTCACAAAGGGTTGAAGGCTGTGCGCGTGCAGCCGCCACTCGGCACCACCCACGCCATCCCTCCAACACGGCTGCGTGTGGAGGAACAGAGCAGGAGGCACCAAGCAAATAGCAGCCACAAACGCCAAACCAAACCCCGCTCCAGGTATGGAGGTCTCAGAGTGAGTTGAGTAGTATATGTCGTCATTCCAAGCGAAGCCAATCAACGAAAACGAGGGAGTATCGTGCGTGTGTGTGCGAGAGAGAGAGAGAGAGAGAGAGAGAGAGAGAGAGAGAGAGAGAGAGAGAGAGAGAGAGAGAGAGAGAGAGAGAGAGAGAGAGAGAGAAGGTAGAAAACAAGGAAAGGGCATGCAAAGAGAGCTGCTGGTCAGTGAGAGGAACCATGTTCTTCCGCATTCACAAAGGGTTGAAGGCTGTGCGCGTGCAGCCGCCACTCGGCACCACCCACGCCATCCCTCCAACACGGCTGCGTGTGGAGGAACAGAGCAGGAGGCACCAAGCAAATAGCAGCCACAAACGCCCAACCAAACAACCCCGCTCCAGGTATGGAGGTCTCAGAGTGAGTTGAGTAGTATATGTCGTCATTCCAGCGTTGAGGGAAGAGAAGAGAGGAGAATCAGCATGCATGGGCAGGGAAGGAGGGTGTGTGTGCAAGACCAGTGTGCTTGTTGCCTTGCTTTGCGATACATACGTTTCGTTTTCTGTAGGTGGCGGAAGGGATGATGTTAATCAACTCCTCAACAAACTTAAGCGTTCTCTGCAGTTGGGCATCACACATGGCACACAATAATGAGTGAGAAAACACGAGGGCGGGCCGTTGGCTTGGTGTTGGCGGGTCCAATGGTAAAAAGCAGTGCAGCACGCATCCAAGCAAGCGCAAGCGCGCACAACGCAAGATGCTGCCAAGCTCACTTGGAAGGGGCGGTTGGTGGAGAGGGTGACGAGGACCTTGGACGTTTTGCCGAGGAAATAGGAAGCAAACTCATCGCTCCTCTCATCTCCAAGTACCTTCATCAATGATGAGACGGAGAGCAAGAGAAACTATGAGCTGATGTGCAGCACCAGGCATACACAGCTGACAAAGCAGCACTCAACACGACATCATCACAAACAGGTTCTCACAACCACACATACATGCATAAACACGCGCATGCATAAGCAGACACACACATGCATACACGCATACACACATGTGCCAGAAAACACACCTCTTCGTCATCTGCGGCGATTTCTGTGCCGTCACTGACACGCATGGACTCGATGGTCTTGGGCTTGGGCTTGGGGACAGCGTCGCCATACTGCTTCTCAAGCATATCGCGCTGCCTTCGCCGTGCCTTCTTGTCCTTCTCCTTCTGGTGCTTTTGTGACTTGTAGAGCTCCTTTCGTCGCAGCTTGTTGGCAATCTCGCCTGGGCGCGGACCCCGCCGGTTGTCCACGTAATCGACCTGCAGCTGGGCAGGGTCGATATCCGATGCCAGCGCTGCCGGGTCCAACGTCTCCTCCTTCTCTTTCTTGGCCTTTTTCTTCTGCTTCTTGCGTTTGCTTGCGAAGAGGGATTCTTGTGGTGTGTCATCGGGCACGTGCAGGGGGATGTCCTTTGGACCCGTGGGCTTCTTGGCCTTGTTCTTCTTCTTCCCCTTTGCCTGCTTTCCCTTTGCCTTCTTGGCTTTGCTCGTCGTTGCTGTTGGGTCTGCTGTTGCTGAGTCTGTGGACTTTGATTTCTTCGCTGGCGCTTCGGCTGAGCCCGATATTCTCTTTGCGGTTGATGTTGATGACTGTGTCTTTGTGTTGGGGATGATCTCGGGCTTCATCGCGAGCGAGACTCGCTTCTTCGCCTTGGGCGTGGGCGTCGCATCACCCTCCATCGTGTTGTGTGGTTGTGTTGGTGATGTGTGGTGGTGTGGAGATGGAGTGAATGCGTGTGTGCGCGTGTGAGTGCACGTGGACGCACAAGAGCGAAAATTGCCGAGTCAGCAAAAGAGAATTTTATGGTGTCGGACAGCGGGAAATGTGCTGTGGGAGGATGCGTCGCAAGATCTGGATGTGTTGTGACACGTGTGATAACGTGTGACAACGTGTGACAACGTGTGAGACATGACAACGCGTGACATGTGCTCCGCCCCCCTTTGTGGTGACGCACTTCTTCTTCTTCTTCCGTCGTCGTTGAGTGGCTTGGTTGCTGTGTTGGGAACGCTCACAGCTCGTCTGCAAGCAAACAAGATGCGACAGAACATTCGCATGGTGATGCGGTTTTCAAATAACAAAACGAGCAATGAGTGGGCACGAAGTGAGTGCAAATGGAACACATGCGCTCGTGCTCAGCGCCATACAGGAAGGCTCGCGTCACAGCATGACAACGAACAACGAACAACAAAACAAAGGCAAACAAAGGCAAGCATACGAAAACGCAACACAATGAAACAAGTACGCACCATACATGAGCGCACAACACACACACACACACACATGCGCGTACGGACACGTGCACACGCACACGACGCAACACAATACACACCCAGCAACAAACAAACACACCAAACACACATACACAAACGCACGTGCACGCACGCGTGCACACACACACAGCAACAAACAAACACACCGTGCTTGCCCTCGGCAATCTGGAAGACGCGGTACAGGGTCTTGTACACGTCATCGTGGCCCTTCTCCTTGGCAATCTGCCAGGCCATCTGGCCGCGGTCGTTCAGTGCCCGCCAGTCGGCGCCTTTCCGCAGCAGGTAGTTGACGGCATTGTGCTGCAGTCACGTGGGCGATTGACAAGTGGTAGTTGGTTTGAGCGGTGGCAAGAGGGCGGGGGAGGGTAACAGCAGCACGCGTGCGCGCGCACACGATTGCAGTCAACAGAATGAGCTGGCAACACGAACCTTCCCGCGCGCAGCAGCCATCATCAGCGGTGTCCACCCGTGCGCGCCTTGCTCCTGGTGTGGGCAGTAGCAAGAAGCGAAAGACACACAAACAGGGGTGAGGCAAGCAAGGGAGGCGTGACGACAAACAGGGAGGGGAGACAAAGCACTTGGATGTCGGCAAAAAGGCAGATGGACACGAGAGCAAGGCACACACACACACACACACACACACACACACACACACACACACACACACACACACACACACACACACACACACACACACACACACACACACACACACACACACACACACGCACAAACCTGGATGGAGGCGCCTGCGCTGTGGAGAATGGAGATGGTCTCCACATCGCCGCCAGCAGCGGTCCAGATCATGGCTGTCCAGCCAATCTTGTCCTTCTTGTGCACGTCCACGCCGTGCTTAACCAACTCCTACGCACAGCATCACGTCGAACCGGCTGCGTCAGCAAGAACGTCGCCACTGCTGCCATTCACACAAGCAAAACACAGCAGCCAACCGACCACATGCACAAGCAAACGTACACACACACACACACACACACATACACACACACACACACACACACACACACACACACACACACGCACGCACACGCAC